TGAAGTGTGAGCACACCTAAAATTTTGTTCGCATCAGGAAATTGCGTTTTGCTTGTTTTAAACTAACGAGTATGCCGTTTTTAGTTTCATGTTTCGTGTAAATACGCGGCCTCCGAGGGGTGTTGCAGAAGTGGCACAGTTGCTTTTAAGTTCTGACCCTCGTCATCATCTTCAGTTCTTATTTTGCAGCACCTCCAATGTTATCCGCATCAGGAAATTGCGTTTTGCTTGTATTAAACTAACGAGTATGCCGTTTTTATTTTCATGTTTCGTGGAAATACGCGGCCTCCGAGGGATGTTGCAGAAGTGGCACAGTTGCTTTTAAGTTCTGACCCTCGTCATCATCTTCTGTTCTTATTTTGCAGCACCTCCAATGTTATCCGCATCAGGAAATTGCGTTTTACTTGTATTTGAAAGCGCAATTAAAGGACTTGGCAAAGTGCCAAGGAGCCGCACGCGACACGCGCGCTTACGACGGATGTTATGAAGGACGGGAATCTGCGCCGCAAAAAGGTGTAAGGCGGAGCATGGAGGAATTAGCGTGTTTCACGGTCCTGTATCTCCATTCCTGGGCATGTTTGGGCGGGGGGACCACGACACATCGACAGCTGGGGGGCTGATAGTCTCATACACCCTCAATGTGTGTGAGCGTACTATGTGTCTTTAAGCGTACAGTACCAAGAGGACCAAGAGAGAGAGAAAAAGGGAGGCTTTTCTTGTCCAAGAATAAGTGCTTTTCTGCACTTAGTCGTCTAACCTCTCGTTCCAGTGCTCACTCAGCGAGCAAAATCAACTGCTATAAGAAGGGCCAGGCATTTTTAGAGCTATATTCGTCTTTTTCACATTGCGCCCCCTGTTTCACAGTCGAACTACAGTGTGCCATCGTGTAATATAGCTTCAAGTCTTCACATGAGTATCTTCTCCGCTATACTGCCGCGAATTAATTTTGAGAGACTAAAAAAACGTCATCTCACTAGATCATATTTATCCTGGTGAGGAACAGCTGTGGGGAAATAATGACACAAGATCACTACTTCGTAACGGATACCTGCACAAATAAAAAATCGTCGGCTAAAATACGGAAATTTTGCGCGTAGCAGTGGGCAACGTTCACGTGTTGGTAGGACCTGTACTTTTTGAGCCCTCTT